CATTTGGAATGCATTTTTATTGTTATGAGAACATACAAGTAGGAACAGGATGAAAAGTTGGACCATCTGATGGGCCAGCATTTTCTTTGATCAACTGACGTTATCTCGTATGACATCATTATCTGTACAAAAAATGTTCCATACTCAGTCAACCTGTGTATGTATGATCTCAGATGGAAGTGATGTTCTTGAGGAAGGGTACAGCCAGAGTGAAGTTTGCTGCTGTTTGCTGCCCGTCTTTGTGGCATAAAAGCTTGTTTCATCACGCTGTCCTCGAAGTGGATCCAAGTGTGGTATTTTGACATTATTGGCCTTGTACATAACAAGTAAGGCCCGCCACAGATCCTCCTATGTTGGAGGCTCTGCTGAAATGACAGATCTATCCAGGAGAGGGGTCCAGGCGAGAGATGAGACGTTTGCTCTGTTCTTAAACTCTATCAAGCAGTCGAAATGAGAGGGGGGGCAGCAACCAAGAAAGTGGCATACTCAAGGTGTGAGCGGACATGAGCCTCGTACAGGATCTTTGCAACCCCCTACTGTCAAGCAGATCGAGATACGGCAAGTGCTGTAAGCTTCCTGGCTGCCTTGTTTCAAGAATTTACAAACATGTATTTCTTCATGGTTCGTTTTTGGAGTCAAATTTCACCCCAAGGATACAACTTCTTCTTGCCAGGTGCCAACATGGGGCCTCCCATTCATCCTTACTACTGCACCAGCATTACCATCATGTGTGCCTAGAGACGAACATCGATTTGCGTTTTGCCTCAGGTGCAAATGTTACTTGCCATCTTTTCCCTTTCCAAGCTGATATATGCTCTCAGCTGGAGATTGATGTATGCTTAGTAGAGCAGCTGCATTTCTTCTCTTGGTTAATAGATGAATGTCAGTGTACAGTCGTCTGCATATGCATGTGATTCTGGGATGAGCTGAAGAAGGTCGTTGAAAGTGAGACATTTCCATAACAGTGGACCCCAGCACACTTCCTTGTGGAACGCTTGTGGCCCCAATAGGATGCCTTGCTGATTCCTTCCATTGAGGACTACACTTAGAGATCTACCATGAAGGTAATCACTGAGGAACTATAGTCGTAAGCCAGGGCAATTCCCCAGTGCTTGAAGTTTTGCTAAAGGCCCTGGGCCACACCCGGACGAAAGCTCAGCAGATGTCCAGTGCTAGCCACACCGCTGACTTGTGGATTCATCCAGTGACGTGGTGCCACTTAGTGGGAGAGGTGTAAACAACGGATCAGCGCAGAAGAAACCTTTCCTGACGCCATATTGACGATCACAAAGTAGTGATGGTAGTCCAAAAAAGATTCAGTCATTTGTCTTGAGATATTGTCTCAAGATCTACCAGTGTGATGAAAGGATGACACTGGTGCTGTAGTTGCTGATTTCTTGCTCTGCTCTTCTTTTTGTGAACAGGGACACATTTGCCTCTTTCGCATGAGAGGGCCATTTGCCACTGTACTAGGCAGTAGCTGAAGGAGATGCGAGTTAGGGTGCTGCTAGCTGGTCTGGCACATCTCTCTCAACAATCTTGGGCTCAACTGTCTGGGCCCACAGCCTTTTCTTGTTCAAGGGATTTAAGAAGAAATGCCACCTCCTCCTGCCTTATTGTCCCACCACTGATATCAGTTTGACACAGTTCTTGCAGCTAGCCAAGGAGGGGTCCCCATTGCTGGATTCCCCCATGAACTTGCAAATTTTGGGTAGCATAAGTGTTCAGTACAAAGAGTCCGCCTTCTCTTGACTACAAGTAAAAGAGGTGTCCCATCCTGTCGATTAGAGGTGGAAATAATTCAGCAAGCAGATAACGCTTGTCTGTCCTTGACCAGGGACCACCAAGGGTTTTGGAGCCTACCCTACCTGATTGCTAACTTTCATTTAGTGTCCACCTCCCATATAGCAATGGCCACTTTTGAATCATCACCCATATGCCTACCAGGCTCGCATTGCAAGTACCCTGTCTAGGGTGGTAGGATGTCTTTTATACCTTCGCCATGCTTTGTACTTACATTATGCAGCCTCTCTACACGAAAGCCAAACCAAGCGATCTGTAGGCTTTGTTTTACATATTGCCGTGAGGAATGTGTTCTTGTTTGCAGATTAAGGATTGTCCAGTTGAAGGCTGTTCACTTGGTTGTCAACATCCCCCTGGCGAAGAGCATTCCAGTTCGTGGTGGCGAGTCTCAGAGCAAAGGGCTGGGGGCCAATTACCTCGTTTCCCATAGCCGGTTGAGTCGTGTGGACTCCTCACCGCACAGCACCCTCGTTCTGTTGGATTCATAAGTGGTGGTAAAAACAGCGTCCTTGGACATACGATCCACGTACCGATGAGGGTGAACGAGTGACTATGTGCCTTCTGCCAGATCACTCACTACTGGGTCCAAGTGAGGAGCCAGAGATATGAGTAGGGAAATCAACAAAGTTTCTCATGTCAAACACTGCAAGAAGGTCATCAAGGGGGGGGGGGTGTGGGGGGGAGCCCTCTGTATAAGTGCTGGTTGAGGTCCACCAACATTATAATATGTTGACAGTATGTTGTACGCAGAAGGGAGTAATCTTTTCCATTAGTAAGTTGATAGGTGTCTGCATTGTTGCCACTGAGGTTCGTACATTGCACAAGCTAGTAAAGAGGTACTAGTGATTTATATACAAGCTTGAAGAACATTCATTTCAAGAATGTTAGGGGGGCAACAAAATCTATGCTGGGCATGAACACTTTTAGAGAAGCACACAGTCAACACCACCTCGCTATGCTGCCCTTGCCTGTCACTTCTCATCCATGAGGTTTGCCACAATACTCTCTCTCATCGTCCCTCTCTCTCTCTCTCTCCCACCATCTGCTCTCTCACTCGTAACGCTCTCCTCGAATCTCCTGGAGTACAAGCTCTCTCTCCCTCTCTTCTCTCTCTCTCTCTCTTCTCTCTCTCTCTCTCCTCTCGCTCTTGCTGCACCCTCTCTCCGTCTCTCTCTCTCTCTCTCTCTCTCTCTCCTCTCCTCTCCTATCGTCTCTCTCGTCTATCTCTCTTCTATCCTCTCTCTATCTCTTCTCTCTAATCGATCTCGTCTCTCTCTATCACTCTATCCTCTCTCTCTAACTCTCACACTATCTCTCTCTCATCTCTCTCTCAATCTCTCTCTCTATCTCTCCCTCTTCCTCCTCTCCCTAGCTCTCTCTCTATCTCTCTCTCTAGTCTCTCTATCTCTCCTCTCTATCTCTCTCTTCTCTCCCTCTCTCTCTCTACTCTCTTCCTCTCTCTCTCTAATCGCTCTCTCTCTTTCTCTCTCCTCTTATCTCTCTCTCTCTCTATCTCCTCACTCTTCACCTATCTCTCTCTCTATCTCTCTCTCTCTATCTCTCTCCTCTCTCTATCCTCTCTCTCCTCTCTAGAATCTCTCTCTCTCTCTTCTCTCCTCTCTCGCTCTCACACACCAGCTCACACACACACACACACACACAGTATTTCTTCATCATATAGATGTAAGGCCCCCCAAAGTGGAATATAGCCTAGAAAATGACGTAGTGGAGGGCAGGAACCATACACAGTTTTAAGACGAGGTTTGATAAAGCTCATGGAGCGGGGAGAGAGAGGGCCCAGTAGCAACCGGTGAAGAGGCGGGGCCAGGAGCAAGAAGACTCGATCCCCTGCAACCCCACAAATAGTGAGTAGTACCACCACCCACTCACAACTCTCACTCACAGCACGTCCTTACCTTTTGATTATACAACTACACTTTGAGATTCCGAAGTCTTTCTTTCTGTTCCTGGAGCCTGGCCATGGGCCAGGCTCGTCTTGTGCTTGCTTGATCGTCCAGGCTGTCACTGCTGGTGGTCTGCTGCCCCCACATATCCATCACAGCCTGTTTGATCTGGCACTCAATTATTCAACTAAATTGGCTTTCCTTAGTAGAGGGTATGCTAATGTAAGAGAAAGGAACTATTTGTCACCTTCATGGATTTGGTAAAGATGGTGGATCAGAGAGCATTGTGAAAATGGATTTTTTAATGTGCTTACAGAAAGAAATTTTGGCAGTATGTTATAAGCTCATTACTATTTTGAGGGGCATAAGAAAGTTCTTTCAAAAGATATGCATATCTGATGAGTCTGGTTGTGACTGCTACGTTGGCTTGGGAGCTACAAGCAGCGACAGCTTGGTTGCGTATGAAATTCATCCCATCCTCACAACATGAGTGATACTCAAGCAGATTCAAACATTTCCTGTTGATGCCCAGCTACCACTTTAACAAATGTGTCATGGCTGTTTATTTTTAATTTGCTTAATTGTGGTTGACTACGTATTTTTATAGGTTTCTTTAATGTGACGTAACCTGACCTCATTAGATTTAAAATACAGAAAATATTGTTTGTAAATTTACAGGCAGCCTCTGAAACTGAAGTTGGAAATTGCTGAAGAAAATTATTTTAGTAAAAGGATGGATTGGGGTATCATGTAAAAAGGTACACGAAGTTTAAAGGATACATTAATGGTACAAGGATGTTGAAGTACACAATACACAATGTTTGAGGGGATGTTATATAACTACCATAACTGGCCTGGAGTTGTAGGACTCACTTTATGTGAGTTGAATCCCTACTTGTTCCCTGTTTTTTTTTCATGTGTGTTTCTAAGTGATTGTAATACAGCCTCTCTTCACTTAACGACAGAGTTCCGTTCCTAAGACCACGTCGTTAAACGAATTCGTCACTAAGTTGAGGAGCATACTATAAATGGTAGTTGGGTTTGTTCACCAACTTTGATATTGTTTTAATTCACCTTGCACCATTTATAACCGTTTCAGGTATATTTTTAAATGTTTTATACAGTAAGTGCTGTAAATTATGAAATAAGCAAGAAAAGAGGATATCAGCTCAATATACATTAATTTAGGTATGAATACTGGTCAGAGAGCCTGCTGTAAGTCCGAGGTGTCGGTAAACGAGTACGTCGCTAAGTGAGGAGAGGCTATACTCAATTATTTATTTTGATCAACAGAAAGCAGTTGAGGAAGAGTACAGGAAGTGGAAGTCTATGAGCAATGAAAATGACAATATTGCGCACTTGGTTTTTTCTCTCTCCAGCACACACCTCACCCTTGTTTCTGTGTTTGCTTTTTAAGATGGTATTAGACACTGACAGAGTGCCTCCTATTGCTTACAAGTAAGTTGTTACAACTTTTTTTTTTATTTTTACTCTTAACGAATGCTTCCTTTAGAAAGTTGATTGTATTGATCACAAGATAAATTAATGTGTGAATTGATTTATTGGAATCACTATAAGCATTTATAGGCCACTTATCTTGTTTGCTATTCTGAGTGAAAATATCTCATTCGGTAACTATTTTTTGAAGATAATGATATATGTAAACTTGATCTAATGTTATCTATATTATAATGTGCAAGTTGAGAAATTTAGGTTTGCTTTGGCGTTTAAATTTTAAGACAATCTTATTAAATTGATGGAAATCCTTTGATGAATTGTTTTATTTATTAACCGCATAAAGGTCCAACGTAATATCCATTCACTACCGTACAGCCCCAAGCTTTATTGAGAAAAAAATACATTGTTGTGTTTAATAGGAAAAAAAGAGCATAAGTAAGCCCGGCATCCCCAATTATTTAATATGGTGCAGCAGTGAGTGGCTCAGCACCCATTCTCACGGTCTAGGCGGACTCAGGCTTATTCGTGGCATGTTAAATGAGGACCCATAAAACTTAAATATACGTTTGGGGACTACGTAAAACGATATATATACGTTTGGACCGTTTACGGGTTAAATACCATGTATGAACAAGACTATTCAGATTAAGCAGCTGTAATATGGTCACATTGCTGATCAGTTCGCAGTTAACTATATAGATAATAATTGCACTGTTGAGCAAAATTGTTTATGTCGCTGTTAAAAACAGTTCATCAAGCTCTTGAATACCAAACTGTTTCTTTATTCAGGGTTCTGGAACGTGTCGGGCCACGTCAACTGGCTGCTCATGTTCGCACACTCTGTGACTTCCTGGTCCTGGAGTTTTCCAACAGTGCCGGGGGTCAACATGTGACCAAATATGTCGAAACAATGAACTCCATCATCTGGGTCTACAACATTGTGCCCATTGATCGCCTTAATGCTGTTTTGGTGTTGAGCCGCACTATCATTTGCCTATGTGGAAGAAGATTTGATAAATACATTTGTGACAGTTGAGATTTAGTAACAGATAAATTACATTTTGTAAAAAATGTCATTTGTTAACTGATTTGTCTGGTTCATTATGTGGTCCTTGTTAAAGATTTCCTTACTGTGCTTTATACCATATTTTGTGTGGTGTAAAATTATTCCATACTTTTAAAGACTACATACCACTGGCATTTTCTGTTTAAGACCCTTAAACTGTCCAAACAGACTATGTTCACATGCGTAGTGCTCCATAAAATACATCTACGTTTTTTTACATATTTTCAAATATAAAAAAAAAAAAAAACATAGATCGAAGTATTTTTTATTACACGTTTTCAACATGTACAAAATAAAAATAAGCCTCCTACTTTTTTTATTTTACATACTTTCAAATGTTGAAAAAACCATAGATCTACTTACGTTTGGAACAGTTAAGGGTTAATATATGATGCTCGAAAACCTTTATAAATTCCCTGAATTATTGTAATTCCTAATAACTGTAAACCTGATCACCTCCATCTCTCCTGCTGTATACCCCACTGAATATAGTACTCTTCCCTTGAATATAATAATGAAGTTGAACATGCCTGTGACTATATGCATTTTGCCTCAGGCCCTGCGAACTCAGGAAGGTAGCGAGGCACACGTTTGTTTTTTCATTATCCAATTGCTGCTGCTCAAACCAGCTGAGTTGAGGAATCGTGTTCAAGAGTTCGTCAAGGAAAACTAACGCTCCCCTGACCACTGGAGGCGAACAATTGGTAATGTTTCATCTGAACTTAGGCGTTGTTACCCAAGTTTTAATTCAAGTTTAGGAGTTCCATTAAAGATAATTGGGATTCTAACAGTCGGTTATCTTTCTTCTTTCAATACACCGGCCGTATCCCGCCTAAGTTGGTTTATTTTTTTTTATTTTTTATTATCACTCTGGCCAATTCTAGCCGACCAAGGCAGGGTGGCCGAAAAGAAAAACTTTCAAAAAACGTATTTTCCCACCAATCATTCACTCCATCCCTGTCTTGCCAGAAGGGTGCTTTACACTACAGTTTTAAACTAAACATTAAACACCCCTCCTCAAGTGCAGGGCACTGTACTTCCCATCTCCAGGACTCAAGTCCGTCGGCCCTGGCCGGTTTCCCTGAACCCCTTGCATAAATGTTCTTCTGGCACACACTCCCAACAGCTACGTCAAGTATTAAAAAAACCATTTTGTCTCCATTCACTCCCTATCAAAACACGCTCACGCATGCCTGTTGGGGAAGTCCATGCCCCTCCGCACACAAAACCGTCCTTTACCCTCCCCCCTCCCTCCAACAACCTTTCCTAAGGCGCGACCCCTCGCCCCCGCCTTCCTTCCACTACAGACATGATACCTCTCTTGAAGTCACCTGTTTCACATCCATTCTCTTCTACATGTCCGAACCACCTCAACAACCCTTCCTCACCCTCAGACAAACAGTTTTTTTGGTAATCCCCCGCACCTCTCCTCCTAACTTCCAACAACGAATTCGTGCGGCATTAATATTCACAACCACACATTGCCTCAAACATGACATCCTTCCACTGCCTCCAGCTCTCCTTGCTGCAAGATTCCATCACCCATGCTTCACACCCATATAAGAGCGTTGGTAAAACTATACTCTCATACATTTCCCCTTTGCTCAAGGACAAAGTTTCTTTGTCTCCACAGACTCCTAAGTGGCCCGCACTCCCAATCCTTTCCCCCCATCAATTCTAGTGATCACCTCATCTTTCATAGACCCATCCGCTGACTACGTCCACTCCCAAATATCTGAATAAATTCACCTCCTCCATACTCTCCTGTAGACTCATTAATGTAAATACACAACCCTCAGTGTACTACTCACTCGTAAAGAAAAAAAAAATTGAATTTGAGAAAATAAAATCATGGTCAGCACAACTAATATATCTGTCATTTTTTAAGAACCTGACAATAATGTAGCACATTTGCCATATAAGTTTTGTTAGGTGTAAAGGTTTTGGTTCTTGGTCATATGATGTCCATTTAGCAATGGACTCCTGTAATTATAACCATAATACCGGCATCCATAGTTAATACACGAGGCAAAGTGCAGAGTAAAGGTTGAATGACATTTGAACTTCAAGTAAAAAGTAAACTTTCACCATTGCAAGACCAAAAAGTAATTAAAACCGTATGTAGATTCTATAACTTTTAATTCAGCATAATTCTTATTTTTTTGGTTATGTGCATAAATTAATATTTTAAGGGGATTATTTGATAATGTTCAGATGTTATAATCATCGTACACTCCCTCCTCATGAGTGCTTGAACAGGATGTAACCCTATAGATTCATGTACAGTATAAGACTAGACCACATTTTTTATTGTGGAATAAACTATAGTAATTATCAAAGGATAGGAAGGTATATTTTTTTTTGGCTTAAAAATTTATTCAATTTTAATATTTGTATTTAACTCATGTATAGGGTGTGTTTCTGTCCAAAATGATTTTCTTGTTTGTTTTTGTCCAGTATGGAGAGTGTGCGCTACGACTCAATCACGGGTCTGGGCACCTCGGAGGTGATGCCAAGTCTGACCCGATACACTTGTTGTTCCGATCCAAACCCAGACCTGATCAGTACAGACTCAGAGGAGCTGAAATCGAGTGCTGGTTTAACTATGGGCGAGCGTTACATGTACGGGAAACAGCCTCAGTCGTTTGGGATGAGTGAGAGTGCAGGCGAGCGTATGAATACTGTGGCGTGTGTATGAGGGAAATGGTAACATAATGGAGGGTGAGTGTGGGGGACGGTACAAATTAGTCGTCAAGGATAGGCAAAAAGTATATAAAAATGGCTTTGTATGTTAGAGGGATTTCCATTAGCTAACGGGGGACTGCTCGATGAGTGGTGCAGTTATTTAGGGGAATATTTAAGGAATTTCTAAAGACATTTGATGGTAAAAATAATGCATTTACAAGCATATAGTGGGCCGAATGTTCTGTACTTTAGTCGGGAAGATAGAGAGATACCTGAGTGTGGAGTGGGGGGGGGGGGGGTGGGGGGGGCGGGGGGGGGGGGGGGGGGGGGGGGGGGGGGTGTGTGGCCCCACACAAGAGGGGGGGAATGTGTATAGGGTGGATTTGACGGGGAGCATCTCCTGGTATAAGAAAATTCAGGTCATTACCCAATAGATAATCAGTTTTAAGAGTTAAATTTCTTTACTTTTTGAGATATGGGAATTAGAAACAGTTGGGTGGATGCATTCTTCTAATTTTCACAGAGAAGATATGAACACTGTGATCGTATATTGCAAGAAATTTTATTTTCTTCTTCAACTGCCGTCCATGTCAAGGGTTGTGACAGTTCTGGAGATTCTCTGCGTTTGGTGTATGTGGACCTTTCTGAAGACGGTGATGACACAGACATCCGCCACAGCCTGGCCAACCATACCAATCCATGGCTTCCGCCCCTCCAGTGATGAGCTGACTTCATTCTACCACCAGTGTGCAGCACCTCGAGAAAACATGCACACCCAGTAAGGTGGTGAAGAGAGGTTTTGTTGTACGTGGCTTGGTTTTGGAAGATAAGTGTATCTGTCTACTATTAATTAAAGAATTCTATAATCTGATGTTCTTACAAGAAATTTTTCACTACAGACAGAGTTACTATAATAGAAAACTCTAAATGTGGAGAGAAGGTACTAACATGGCCCTTTCCCTCTTCAATGGTTCTTTTGGTTATTGGTATTTGTTGCATCATCACCTTGTGCAGAGCAATATCCTGCTATGCAGGCTCTAGCTCCTCAATTAGTGTAGATCAAGTAGTGCGAATTTTTGATTTAGTGTGAAATTAATTAATGGCAATTTTTCCCAAAACTCTTCACACGTACTAGACTTGACTGTCATATGTTCTTCTTTTGTAAAATTATTAGCCATCCAGTCCTCGCTCATTCCTATTTATATGTTATTCTTTTGAAATATTGTGTCCTTACCAATATCCTGACTAGAGCTTCCTTCCTAGGCGATAACCATTTTTTGTTCTTTTGTACCAGTTTAATGACAACAATTTATCCCTATAATTGTTTATTTTTATAAATACTTTCGTATTGAAATTGGGCAGTCTGTTTCCCTGCTGACCATTTGTTTTCTGTAGTCGAAAATACAAGCTGTGAAAATCCTTCACTAAAGTTATGCTAAAGTTAGTTTCATGAAGTTTTAGATTAGTTTATACTTTTTGAAGATGAAACCTCCAGATTGGGTCTCACTGCAAATCTGACATTAATGCCCCTGATAAACATTCACAGTTACGTAGAAGTTTTTTATTCTCATAACTCCCCGGCCCTACCTACACACACACCACACACACACACACACACACACACACACACACACACACACACACACGACAGCCCAACACACCACACATACTCACACACACACGACACACACCACACAGCACACACACACACACACACACACACACCAGCACATCACACACACACACCACACACACACACACACACACACACACACACCCGCACACACCACACACACACACACACACACACACACACACACACACACACACACACACACACACACACACACTACACTCACCACACAGACACACACACACACCAACACACAACACACACAACACACACACAACACACCCACACACACAAAACACACACACACACACACACACACACACACACACAAGGAATGAAAACTTCCTGCATGAGGTTTCAGTGGACAGAGAAATGGTAGAAATCAGTAAACGAGATGATGGAATAAGTGGCAACAAAGTTGCAAGGAGGAAGAGGAAAGTTTTGTTCCCAAGGGAAACAAATAATAGGAGACCAAAACGAGTCCTTGTTGTTAGCCCGCGAAGGGGTAGGAGGCCAAAACTAAGTGCCAAACAGAAATGGAAAAGGTACAGGAGGCATAGGACCCAGGAAAAACAAGGAAAAGATATAGTAGAAGAGCCAGAAACGAGTATGTACAGACGAGCGGTGGAGAGGGAGGCCCCAGCGAAGTATGAAAACACATAGCATCGAAAGGTCAAATCTGACCCGAAACTGCTGTATATAGACACATTAAAGGAGGAAGACAACAGTCAAGGACCAGGTGGATAGGCTGAAGGAAAGAAGGTGGAGAACTCACAAGAAAACGATCAAGAGGTGTGTAGGAGCTCAACACCATGAGATTTAAGGAAGTAAATACAGTAGAGACCAGGAAGGACTACTGGGGGACAGACCAGATGGGACACCAGCAAGGAATAAGCACCAACAAGTGATGGACGACATACATACAGATGAGGAGAGTGAAAAACTGCTAAGGGACATTGATACCTCAAAAGGCAATGGGACTACGAACATCTCCCCGTGGGGTCCTTAGAGAGGGAGCAGAATATGTTGTGCGTGCCACTTACCCAACATTATCTTCATCCACGTCCCTGGAAACTGGGCAACTACCTGAGGTAAGGGAAGATGGGCAAATGTAGTTCCCATTTATACAAAAAGAGACAGAAAAGAGGCACTAACTAAACTATAGACCTGTGTCATTGGTACGTGTATATAATCAAAATTTATGGAAAAGATTAATCAGAGGAGAAGGTGGGCACCTGGAACGGAACAAGAGTGATAAATGCCAACCAGCAACGGATTCCCCGGAAGGCAAATCCCAGTGTCACAAAACCTTCTGGAGTTTTATGATAAAATAACAGAAGCAAGACACGAGAGAGAGGGGTTGGGTTGATTTGCATCTTCTTGACTGCCAACAAGTCCTTTGACACAGTCCTCACAAGAGATAATGCAGAAGGCTAGAGCATCAGGCGCATATAACAAAGGGCACTGCAATGATCAGAGAAAACCTACAGGAGGCAACAGCGATCAAGGTACGTAATGATGTATACAGTGGGCACACTGTGACGACCGGGTCCCATCTGGGTCGGTCGTAGAACAGTGCTGATTTTTTGGTAAATGTGAACGACAAATGGAAGGGTTAGACACAGAAGTGTCCCTGTTTGCAGATGAAGTGAAGTTAATGAGGAGAATTAAATCTGATGAGGACCAGCAGGACTTCAAAGAGGACCGACAGACTGGACACCAGGTCCACAAATGGCTTCATGAATTAATCCTGCAAATGCAAAGTCAGAAGATAGGGAAAAGGGGCAACAGAAGACCCCAGACGAGAGTATAGACAGGATGGCCAAAGACTGCAAACCTCACTCCAGGAACAGATCTTTGGGGTGAGTAAATCACCCGAGCATGGTCTCCGGAAGCACACATCAAGTCAAGATAACTGCTGCAGCATATGGGCGCCTGGCAAACCTGAAACAGCATTCCGATACCTTAGGAAGGAATCGGTCAAGACACTGTAAACACCGTGTATGGTCAGGCCCATACTGTAGTAATGCAGCACCTGTTGGAAACCCGCACTTGAATAAAGCCACGTCAGAAACTATAGAAGACAAAGGTTAGCCACAAGGTTAGTTCCAGAGCTAAGGGGAATGTCCTATAAGAAAGAATAAAGGGAAATCGGGCCTGACGGTCACTGGTAGGACAGGAGGTTCAGGGAGACATGATAACGGACATATAAAATACTGCATGGAAAAGACAAGGTGGACAAAGACAGGGCGGAGGATGGTTCCAGGAGGGGACAGAAACAAGAGGCCACAATTGGAAGTTGAAGACACATCCCATTTATTTCCCCCCACCGAAACTCCCCTACCCCCTTCAGCTTTGTTTCGCTTAGGGCCAGGACATCCAACTTCTTTTCATTCATAACATCAGCAATCATCTGTTTCTTGTCATCCGCACTACATCCACGCACATTTAAGCATCCCAGTTTTATAAAGTTTTTCTTCTTCTCTTTTTTAGTAAATGTCTACAGGAGAAGGGGTTACTAGCCCATTTCTCCCGGCATTTTAGTCGCCTCATACGACACGCATGGCTTACGGAGGAAAGATTGGCTATCTATCCTATAATAATTTACTCAATTAAGGCAAGAAAACTCACCAATGGTTACTCAATTATCATCAGTGATCTGCTATTCAATCTTTACCATCTACTGCTTTGTAAAATAATGGAGCCCCTGATAATTTATTTCTCAACTTAAATCTTTTTGTAAAATAATGGAACTCCTCAGTAATTTATTTCTTGACTCACAAATCTTAAAAGATTTATCAGATATAGCTTCAAGAACATGAACTTGATCTCGTTTATCTCATTATTTATAAGTTGGAATAAAAAAAAAGATGTACATGGGAAGATTTTATTATGCCAACTTTTAGCTCAGTGTAGAACTTTATCAAGCTCACTGTGAGTTTGATAAAGCTCTACACTTCACTTGCTGTAGAGCTTTATCAAGCTCTACTCAGAGTGAAGCAATATCATAATAAAAGCATCCTCTTTGTGTATATATTTTATTCCACCTTCTCAGCATCTTGTCTGTGTAGCTGTTATTTATCATTGAAAATAGTGATGGGACAATACCCAAATTTTTTGCCCTAACCTGTGAATTTTAGAACTTGCCATGGATTCAGACCTCACCTATTTCCTGATTCAGTGGTCTTTTTAATACTGTCTGATATTGTGGCCCTTTAGTCTATTTATTATTATTAACATATCGGCCTTTTCCCACCAAAGCAGGGTGGCCCAAAAAAAGAAAATCTTTTATCATCATTCACTCTAACGCTGCCTTGCTAGAGGCTCGCTTACACTATTTTAATTTATTTTTGCATCTTCTAAAGCTTACCACTACCTCTGCCCACTGCTGGGATCATCCACTCTTTTCTTTATAAGATGTGGTAACATTACTTACAGTATTTACTTGTATTTCCACTTTTTCAGTACAGTACTATACGTACGTATCTAGTTTATCACATTTATCTGTACTTGGTCAGGTGTGTTTTTGTTAGTAGTATTTATACTGCATTCCAATAGCTTTGTTTCTTCACTGAGTTTGTTCCCCAAACCACATTACTCAGTGCTTCAAGGCAAAGGTATTTAATGCTGACTTCATCGTAGCTCCAGATTTTAACATAGTTTGCTCTCAAACTTTTGTAGGTATGAGAAACACATGGCATTCCACCGCAAGTTTCCAGAAAAATTCTCTCCTGAGAGTATCCTGGCAGAGCAAGGCACCCTCACTGCACAGTACCAGACTCTGCCAATCTACTTTTCAAATGTTTGTCTCAGGTTCTTACCCGTAAGTACTGCTTCGTTTCTTAGTTCTTAACAAATTTTCAAGAACACTCTTAATGAGTAATCTGTTATTAGATTAAATTATCCTATTTTTGGGGCACTTTGTGTCTATTTTGGTAATTACTTCTAATGAATGGCAATATTCTCCATGGGGAAGTGGAACAGAATTCTTCCTCCGTAAGCTATGCATGCCGTAAGAGGCGGCTAACATGCTAGGGGCAAGTAACATGCAAGGGGCTAGTAACCCCATCTCCTGTATATATTACTAAAGTTATGAAGAGAAACTTTTTGTTTTTCTTTTTGAGCGACCCTGCCTGGGTGGGATACAGCCGATTTGTTGAAAGAAGAAGAATGGTGAAATTAACCAGATTAGAACAATATAAAATATAATATAGTCTCTGAAGCACAAATTGAACCTTTTAAATATTAAAAAAAATAATCAGAAAAAAAATTTAAATTTTTATATCATTTCAGTTTGTAATTTTTGGATCCTCTGGGAAAAAGTAACCCTCGAATTTAAGATGACTCAGGACAATTTGCTTTGCCAACTTAAATTGTTTAAGGTTTTTTTCTCCCAGTGGGGGACATCATCATTCCAGGTTCTTAGCTCCATCAAGTGCACAAAAACCCGGAGACTATTTGGAAAGGGTTTGGAAATGCTTTAAAAAATTCCAGGGTAAGTGAAATCTAGATTGATGATTAGTACAAATGTTCTCTTCAAAATGTTTATTTACCATCTTGATAATGATGATGATGATGATGATTATTATTATTGTTATAGTTATTATATCTATATTATTTTTGTGTACATGCTATTTTTTTTTTTTTTTTTCAACAATCGGCCGTCTCCCCCGAGGCAGGGTGACCCAAAAAAGAAAGAAAATCCCCCCCAAAAAATACTTTCATCATCATTTAACTCTTTCACCACACTCACACATAATCACTGTTTTTGCAGGGGTGCTCAAAACACAACGCTTAGAAGCATATCGTTAAAGATACACAAAATATCCCTCCAAACTGCCAAAACCCAAACCCCTCCTTTTGGGGCAGCATTTTACTTCCCATTTCCGGACTCAAAACCGGTATAAAAAAAAGGGTTTTCCCCGAATCCCTTTATAAAAATTACCCTGCTCACACTCCAACAGATTTTCAGGTCCCCCAAAAACTTTTATCTCCATTTACTCCTACAACCGCTCACGCACGCCGCGGGGAAATCCCCAAACCCCTCGCCACAAAACCTCCCTTTTTGGTGTACTTTCTGTTTAACATATGGGTTGTCGCGTCGGGGTAGGGGCCCCGCTTGTCAAGGGTTTTCATAAAATTTGTGAGGCCCCAGCTGTATGGCCACTTTTGTAATATATGCCGTAACCAGGTCAGAGTCCATATTGTCATACTCTGCCTCACAGGCGGGAGTCTCATATTGTTACTACTCTCCTCACAGGTCAGGGAGTCTCTCGAAATTCTTGAAATTTGAAGATGCAAGGTCACTTTTTCAAATATCTTTATTTTATTTAAACATTTTTAGTATAAATTTGGGGTGCCAGGGGAAAGTAATGGGGGGCCTTTAATTTAGTATGTTAGAAAGAAATTTGGTAATAAAATACATATTTTAAAAAGAGGGTAAATAAATTACAAGGTATATGCAGCCCCTAAAGAAAATAATTTGTTTGATTATGTATTGGGGATAAAAAGGTTTATGGGTAGCCCAGGATGTAATGTTTATAAGGGGCAAATGAATTCAGATATTATTTAGTTGTACTCTTTTGAGTAAGAGGTAGATGGAAAAGAGGAAGGTGGCAACAAAAAATAAGAGGGAGGGGAAAGTGTATAAACTAAGGGGGGAGGAAGTTGGGTGAGATATAAGCGATATTTGGGAAAAGGTGGGGTAGTGCAAAAAGAGTAGTGGGGGGTTGAAGAGGTTAGAAAAGTTTTAAAAATGCAGTATTAGAAAAGTGGGGCAGAAGTTTTTGGGATAGGGGGGTGGGGGGAGAGGAAAAAGGGAAATATTGGTGGAATGGAAAATAAAAGGGGGTGATAAAAGAAAAAAGGTAGCTTTCGAGAGGTTTTTACAAAGCAAAGTGTTATAAAAAAGCAAGTATATGGAGAGTAAAAAAAAAGGTGAAGGAGTGTGAAGGGGCAAAAAGGGAAACAGATGAAAGAGTGGGGGAAGGCCTGTCAAGAAATTTTTAAAGAAAAAAAAAAATTTTGGGGTGGTTTAAAAAGTTAAGAAACCCAGGGAAAAATAGGATTTGTCCATTAAAAAAGAGTAGGGGAGTTAGTAGATGGGGGGTGGAGGATTAGGAATGGCGAAATATTTTTAGGAAACCTTTTAAAAAGTTAGGAAGAAAGGGGGGTGTAATTTCATGCATGGCCAGGGGGGTATACCATCTTTGGAGTGAAGAAGAGCAAAAGTAAGGGGGGGGTACGGAGGCATTCTAGAATGAAAAAGGGGGAAAGCACTGGAAAAGATGGGTCAGACGAAATGTTAAAAACAGGGGGGGATAAGTGTTTGGGGGGGTTTTGGTACTTTGTTTTAAAAATGTTTTAAAGAGGGGAAAGGGACCTAGGGGTTGGCAGAGAGCATGTATACCCTTTATAAAAGGGAAAGGGACAAAAGAGATTTTAAAAATTAAGAGGGAAAAGTTTATGAGTTACCAGGAAAATTTCGGTAGGGGTTTTAATTGAAAAATTAGAGGCAAGACAGAAGTAGAATTGCGGATGAGCAAGGGGGCTTCAGATGGGGAGGGGGTTGTAGATCAAGTTTTACATTGAAGCATATTTGAACAGTATTTAGATAAAGGTAGGGAAGTTTTTATTGCAAAAATTTTGGGTTTAAAAAGGCATAGATAGAGTGGGTAGAGGGCAATGTGGCAGTGTTGAAGTATAGGAAAAAAATGTAAGTTATAAATGCTGTAAAGAGCTTTTTTGGGATAGTGAGGCTCAGGGTTTGGTGTGTGAAGAGAGGGGGGAATACTTCCCCTAAAATAGGTCTTAACAGGATGTGTAAGCACCATGGTTTTTAATATAATTTTTTAGATGGGGGTTTTAAAAGAAGAATGCTGGGTTTCGGGAGAGGGGGGGGATTAAATATGGGAATCAAATTTAAAAGGGAATTGACACAGTTATTTTTGCTGATGAAAACTGTGCTTAGGGGATTCAAAGAAAAATTGCAAAGGTTAGTGATAGTTTTGAGAAGTGGTAAGGAGAAATTGAAAGTGAACATAGAAAAGGTAAGGTGGAGGGATCAAATTTTTTAGATAAAGAAAATTGGATACAAATTGGGGGGAGGATATGGAAGAATGAATTTTTCAGATATTTGGGATTTTGTGCGTCGGGGGAGGTTTATAAAGGGATGAGGTTAATCATAGAATTGATGGGGGAAAAAAAAAGGTGAGTGGTGCTTGAGGTATATGTGGAGTCAAAAAACGTTATCTATGGAGGCAAAAAAGGGGAATGTATAAAAGTTTTAAAGTACCAACCTCTTAAGGGGATTGAAGTTTGGGGGGTTAAATGCAGCAGCGAGGAGACGGTTTTGGGGCAGGGGGAATGCCGTCAAGGGCAATGTGTGGTAAAAATTTATGCAGAAAATCGGAGTGGGGGAAAATTAGGAGAAGGTGGGAGTTAATAAAGCATTAGCAGGGGGCGAAGAGGGTTGTTGGTTTTTTGGGGTCATTTGAGAGAATGGATCAAGTGAATGACATGGAAAGCATATAAATCTAAGGGGAAAAAAAGGGGGGTAGGGGTCGCCTAAAAAGGGGGTTGGGGAAAGAGGGGGTAAAGGGGGTTTTGTGGCGAGGGGCTTGGATTTCCCGCAAGCGTGCATGAGGGGTGTTAGATGGGGTGAATGGAGACGAAGATATTGGGGCCTGACGATCTGTTGGATTGGCAGGTAATATTTAGTAAAGGGGTTTCAGGGAACCGGTTTTTTTTCATATAGTCGGATTTGAGTCCTAAAAGGGGAAGCCAATCCCTCACTTTGGGGGAGTTTTGGGATAGGCAGTTTGGAGGGATTTTGTGTATCTTTAATGTATATACTTTTACTGTTTATTTGAGCACCCTGCAAAGCAGTGATAATGTGTGGTGTGGTGAAAGGTTAAAATGATGATGAAAGATTTTTTTTTTGGGGTTTTCTTTTTTTTTTGGGTCACCCTGCCCGGTGGAGACGACCATTTGTTGAAAAAAAAAAAAAAATTATTTTTATTTTTTCGAAATTTAATTATGGAAACTTCCATTATTAGTTCGGAGCAGAGCTATGCACATTTACCAGTTTTTAAAAAATTTATTTGGGGGGGGTATGGTGAATGTGTTAAATTATTTTATTTTCAGTGGAAACAGAATTTCCATGGTCTTTTTTTTTTCTTACATTTTTTCCTTCATCCTGGATTTTTTTTTTATTGAATTTAGTCCTCGACTGTACCCCCTTATATGGGGTTCAGATCAAGTTTTACTCCTACCACATTAAATAGGTATTTTTTAATATTTCTCCTTTGACACTGGGAAATACCATTACTAAAAAATTATAGCTGAATAAGAGTTTCAGTCATTTTATTTTTTTTTTTTATACCCAACGGGGCCGATTCCCACCAAGGCAGGGTGGCCCGAAAAAAAAAACTTTCACCCATCTTTCCCCACCATCACGCTTCCCAGAAGGGTGCTTTACACTACAGTTTTTAAACTCAAATTAACACCCCCCCCTTAGTCATGAGTTAAAATATTTAAATTTTTTTACTTACGTTGGGTTTTTACATTTTAGATCGACCCATCACTTTTTTATACAAACTTTATTTTTATAAAAAAATTACGGGGGGACCTAACCCGAAACGACGCCTGGAGGCTGTAATAATTCACAGCAGGGAAATTCGGCCCCCAGGGTGGCATTGACAGAACTTACCCCCCAGTATTTGTCCGGGCCCGCGAAGACATGGGTGGAACCCAGGACCCTTATTTCAACACTTTTGACGTCTTGTCAAAAGTACCTTTTGTTTTGAGCAACTTTTGTCAATTTTAAGTTTTTTTTAAACCTAGTAACAGGGAAAATTTCATTTGTCTATGCTTAGTTCAAATTTTATTGAAAGAAAAATGTTAATTATACTGACCAGGTGGTCACTGATATTGTACAATTTATTGGGTTTAATATTCTTTAGATATTTTATCTTTTTATTCTCTGTTTTCCAGAAAATTTGTGAAAGTGAAATTAGCCAGATCAAAATTTTTTGGGAAGGGGAAAACAAAAAAGGAAAACGTAAAGATAAAAATTATATTTCATAAAACTGTAATATGTCTTGGGTTTTTTTCTTTTTTATTTAATAACTTCCCTCCGGCATATGCCTTCAGAGGTTTGGAATGGAAACCTGTTAAATGTTTTGCATTTTGGGAAGATACCCGCTTTCTTTGTCTCATAAACATTTGTGATGACAGGTAACTCTTACTGCTTCACTATGTTTGGGATACACTTGCTATTTTGTTTGTGTTGCTAATATTTAATCCGAAATATTTTTTTTTTCACCTAGGAAGCCTGTTTTTTAGGCTGGTCCTCTGAGGGATGTTCTCCAGACCATTTAAAAGATATGGAAATCTTCCAACATGTAAACAAAAAAAGTTAAAAAAATTCTCATAAAACAAATCTTCAAAACATTTAAGTTGTATTTTATTATGATTTTAACATTTCTTATAAACTTTCCTTAAAACAAAGTTTTCAGCAATGCAAAGCAAAAACCCAAAATTCCCCTGGGGGAGGGGGTTCAACGAATTTCCAACACGGTGCCTGCCCTTCATGGAGCTTGTAGAGCTGAGGTCTCCCCATAAACCCCTTTTTTGTAAAAGCTGCTCGATGCCTCTCAAAGGGTAATTTCATCATTGGGTTTATAAATTTTAACCTTCATTGCATATTTATGTTCTAACAGAGTGTAGTTCATTTTTGGGCCTAAAGTCTAAGTTCTTGTTACAAAATTTTTTTCCACGAGCTTCTTTAGCAGCAGTGCCTTTGGGGTTGTGAAAGGGGAGTTCAAGAATTTTTAGCTACCCTTTCCTTCCTTGGATCAAACCTGATTACCCCACTTTCTTCAAGGACTGTATTTTGTGACCTGACCTATCTTCTAACTCACCATCCCCTCATTATGCATCTGTCTTTGGTCCAGGATGAACTGAAATGTCAGAAATTTCCTTTCTGAATTTCTTCCTGAGTATTATTTATCCTGATACAGTATTTAGTGGTTAGTTTTTCTAAAAAATATTTTTTGTAGGTCTTATCCTGCACTGAGGTTGAGCTTATTGGTTATCCGAGTGGAAATATTTTAGAGTTCGTTGTTTATTATGTTACTTAGTACAGCCTGGTGTTGGTTGGAGGAACAGATATACGACTGGTAAGTGGCAGTGGTTTAATTCATTGAGGTGCATTTGGCAGGTCACTTATATAAAGGAGGAATAGCAGTGAGGCCAAGATGCTGCCTTGTGGTACCCCCCCTCCCCCCCCCCTCAATGTTTATAGGTAGAGTTGATAAGAAAATGTTTGTCTATGGCTATATGTTATTATCCGTTATTGAAGCTTGTATAGCTTCTAAGTCCATTTTTGTCTATTTTAAGAAGAATGATGTGACTGATATACGTAAATTTACTTATACTTTGTGTGTTTCTCTAGGTACTGTGACATTCCTTCAGGTGAGGTGGAAGAATGGGTGAATGCTGTGGGTCTGCTTCTTACGTGGCTTCCTGAGCCTTACTGGCTGGTCATCCATGACCGCATCATTGAATTACTTCAGGTAAGTTATCCTTTCCAGCGAGGTACCTTCATGCTGGTGAAGGGCTTCTGGTTCCAGGAATTAGATCTACCCTTTCCTTTCTTAGACTAAACTTGATTACCTACCATTCCTCTATTGTTGTGTGGCCCCTACAGGTTTAGTGTTTCATGAATATAAGCATAGTAAATTGAGCACAATAATTTCAGTAAACCATGGATTTAATGGACCTCAATTTAATAGACCAGAAATAGGGGGTAAAATTTAATGGGTACAGAATTGTTCATTATTGTTACAATCATGGCACAATAGTCTCATCTCCATCCACCACATTCACCTTTGATGAATTCCAAGAGTTTTTCTACCCCTGGAGCCTGGCCATAGGCCAGCTTACCAGCCCCTCCTGCCTGTTAGTTTCTTAAACCCAGGGTTTACCAAGGTATAATGTGAAGGGTTCTGTGTAGGAATTAATGGTAATTATGATTCTGTTAGGTAAGACACATATGCAACAGTTAGGTATCTTTATTTCAAAACGTTTCGCCTACACAGTAGGCTTCCTCAGTCGAGTACAGAAAAGTTGATAGAAGCAGAAGAAGCTTGAAGACGATGTAATCAGTCCATCACCCTTAAAGTTTTGAGGTGGTCAGTCCCTCAGTCTGGAGAAGAGCATTGTTCCATGGAATGAAACAATATTGTTTCATTCCATGGAACAATGCTCTTCTCCAGACTGAGGGACTGACCACCTCAAAACTTTAAGGGTGATGGACTGATTACATCGTCTTCAAGCTTCTTCTGCTTCTATCAACTTTTCTGTACTCGACTGAGGAAGCCTACTGTGTAGGCGAAACGTTTCGAAATAAAGATACCTAACTGTTGCATATGTGTCTTACCTAACAACCTGTCGGTATTTTATACCATTTTAATGTTCAATTATGATTCTCATATTTGCTTCCATCTTTTACTCTTACACAAAATCACCATTTTTCACATTCCCAAGTTTTGCATAGACAGTTTGCAATACATTGGAAGATGACTGACCAGGTTTTTAGTTTTATATTTTTTTTTCAACAAGTCGGCCGTCTCCCACCAAGGCAGGGTGACCCAAAAAAGAAAGAAAATCCCCAAAAAGAAAATACTTTCATCATCATTCAACACTTTCACCACACTCACACATTATCACTGCTTTTGCAGAGGTGCTCAGAATACAACAGTTTAGAAGCATATACGTATAAAGATACACAACATATCCCTCCAAACTGCCAATATCCCAAACCCCTCCTTTAAAGTGCAGGCATTGTACTTCCCATTTCCCATTTATGAAGGGGTTCAGGGAAACCGGCAGGCCGGACTTGAGTCCTGGAGATGGGAAGTACAGTGCCTGCACTCTGAAGGAGGGGTGTTAATGTTGCAGTTTAAAAACTGTAGTGTAAAGCACCCTTCTGGCAAGACAGTGATGGAGTGAATGATGGTGAAAGTTTTTCTTTTTCGGGCCACCCTGCCTTGGTGGGAATCGGCCAGTGTGATAATAAAATAAAAATAAAATTGTTTAGTAATTTATACAGGAGGAGTTACTAGCCCTTTGCTCCCAGCATTTTCCATGAATATAATAATTTAAGTAATGTTTTATTCTGTCCTTGCAGAAACCAAACCTGGCAGCACCTGGGAGTGACTCTATGGACCCATTCACCTTGCTTAATTTAGAGCAGTTGCAATCATCTCGTAGTGATACAAGTGCTGCGCTCACTGTGGCTCTGGCTCATTCATTTTGGCATCATGCATCCTTTGGCCAAGTTGGCCGCATCCCTCAGTAAGTGTCTTTCCAGTAAGTTAAGATTTGTTTGTATTTTTAACCCAGAGGATTAGCCACCCAGGATGACCCAAGAAAGTCAGTGTGTCATCAGGGACTGTCTTATTTTCATTGGAGTCTTTCAATCTTGTCCCCCAGGGTGTGACCCACACCGGTCAACTAACACCCAGGTACCTAATACTGCTAGGTGAACAGGGACAGCTTCAGCAGTTTTGTATGGCAGCACTGGTGTATTGACATGATACAGTGCGACTCACTGTCTGCATACCATAAACAGTATCTCTTAAAGTATGGCTACATAATGTTGATAATTAATAGAGATTTTCTAAAGAAAGGTGAATATGTCTTGAAAGAAATCTATTTTGTCAAGAGTAGACATTAAAAGTATGAGGCACTTACAAAGTATATCTAGTGAAGAAAATGTTCAAAGTAGAATTGATCAGACATTTATTTTAATTTCACAAAAAAATATTATTTCAAATTAACTTTACCCTAATTTTTCCCTGGCAGGTTCATGAGAGAACGTGTACGTCCAATTTTAGCAACAGAAGAACAACTGGTGGTGGTGTGTCACCTGGTGGGTCCATTCCTTCAACGCTTTAATAGTGAGCTGGCTCGTAAAGTCTTCGATGTGACCATCGAGCTCTACGAGGCTCTGGCCAAGGTTGGCATCTTACATTCTAATGGGAAGTGAAAGAAAAAGAGAAGAAAGCCTTCTACACCATTACTTCTTTATTTCCTACAGACTTTTCTTGCAGAGAAAGACATGAAAATAAGTTGCTGTGATATTCTTGACAGGATAAGTAAAATAAAGCAGCTTTATGTAATATATAATTCAGTTTTATTATACAGTATATCTTTTTCTCTTGTAGAGTGAATGATGAAAGTTTTTCTTTTTTGGGCCCACCTGCCTTGGTGCGAAATGGCCGATGTGTTAATAAAACTAAAATAAAATAAATTCTGTCAAACTTTCCTCAACAGGTGGATCGGAGTGTGACTGATCTGAAATATATGGATCCCATTTGTGATGTTCTTTACCATATAAAGTACATGTTCACCGGGGACTCCATAAAGACTGATGTGGAGGGAATCATCCGTGGGCTGCGACCAGCACTGCAAAGACGTTTACGCTTCATCACACATCTCAATTTGGACTCCATTGAAGTAAAATTTAAATATTTTTTCCACTTAGTCTGAGTGTTGTATTTGCATGATATATTGTGAATTAATGTAAATTACTACTTGCAAATTAAGTAAGTATGTGCATGTATTTTTGTGTTTTTTAAGATAATCAGCCAACAAACACATATTTTGCAGAATACTGCAGGGAATAATGCCAGTACTAGTGCCACCACGGGAAGCAGTGGTAACACATCAGCTAGCAACAGCACCAGTAATAGCACCAACAATACCACTTGTACTAATACCAGCAGCAGTAACAGTGCTGCAGGCCCTCTCACTGGAAACTCTGTGAGCCAGACAGGTAGTGGAGGAACGTCCGGCACTGTTTTAGGGTCGGCTGGGTCGGCTGTAGGAGCACTAGGTACCCTAGGGTCAAGCGTCACTCTGGGTAGTAATACACAGGCATCTAGTGTCTCCACATCTGCTCTGGGTGTAGGCTCCTTGGCAGCCGCATCCAGCTTGGCTTCTCTCCTGCAAGATACATCACCTGTTAGCACATCATAAACTGTATTTAGGCTATTAGAGAGGGCTGGATCAGCCCAAGATTTTGTCTTTCAGAATCCATTACGGCTGGATCAGCCCACGATTTTGTCTTCAAAATAAATTAGAGTATAGTAATTTAATTGTAATATGATATTTTTTGAAGGATTTTGTAACAAAATGAAATTAGAAAATTAATTATTAAATGCATTATACAGTAATCATATTTTTTTGATAATGTGATATTTGTTTTTTAGCAGAATGTGTATACAGTATTAAACATTAAAATTGTAATTTTTTTTTTACCCACCATTCTGGCTATGTTGGAAATGAGCAAAGCTACGTAACTGCGCTTATTTATTTTTTTTATATATTATGGGTTGTCCAAGACTCATAAGCCTAATATTCCTCTCTTCATAGACGACCACTAGTCGTGGCTCATATATGCACAAAATTGCTAGGTGAATTTTGGACTGATAAAACATTCGTATCTAGGTAGTAGGTTGGTAGACAGCAGCCGCCCAGGGAGGCACTATCGTCCTGCCAAGTGTAATTGTTTTACATGATTGTAGGATTGCTGGCACCTGTTTACTGTCTCATAAACATGCAAGATTTCAGGTACGTCTAGCTACTTACACTTAGGTCACACTACACATACATATACACACAAACATATATATACACACCCCTCTGGGTTTTCTTCTATTTTTTTACTAGTTTTGTTCTTGTTTATTTCCTCTTATCTCCATGGGGAAGTGGAACAGAATTCTTCCTCTGTAAGTCATGCGTGTTGTAAGAAGCAACTAAAATGCTGGGAGCAGTGGGCTAGTAACCCTTCTCCTGTATACATTACTAAAGTTAAAAAGAGAAACTTTTGTTTTTACTTTTTGGCCCACCCTGCCTCAGTGGGATACTGCCAGTTTGGTGAAAGAAAGATTTATAACTTAAGTCAGATATTATGGTGTGGCTAAGGTTTGTAGTTGACATGCTCACAGTGTGGAATGAAAACTAGAATTTTGATGATTTCTACATTAAGCCCAATAATTTTGTACAGTGGCTTTCCTGAGCATCCTCATTATTAAAAGTACTGCTCTCAGATGAGAGCATTATTTTGAAATAAAAGCACCATGCTGAAATCACTTCATGAGATTTGCCTTGATGGTGTTGAGGGGCTCTTGGTTCATTAAATTTGAGTCATCCTTTCCCCGGATTGAGTCTGGTTGCCTCCCATTTCCCCACCAGGATGATGTATGACCCCTTTGGGTTTAGTGCTTTCCCATGAATAAAATAAATATACACCACTCTAAAATTAAAAATAGCAGTATGTAAGAAGAAGACTCAAGTTATACAGCTCACAAAGGAGCATAGTGGCAGGTCCACTCAATGTAGGTACCTCCATAATAGTGCGGGGCTCGTGATTCAAAGAATTTTGTTATTTCTCCCTTGAGCCTGAATGCCTCTCATTCCCCCAACTACTGTGGGTTTAGTGCTTTCCCCTAAATACAGGAATAATAGCGTAATGTACATAAGTGTCCATGATATCTGGGTGTGGAATACATCAAGTTTGGCAGACATCTTTACAAACCTCTCCCAACCCCCCATCCCCAAGGGGGTAATATCTTGGTACTGGTGAATGGCTATTGATCCAAGTAATTAGAGTTCTCCCTCTTAGATCGCAAGTGATCTTGTTTCACAGGTGCTGTAAGACCTCAGTATTTCCAGTGCTTCCCTGTAAATATAATAATTAAGAATACATCTTACATACATTGTGATTTGGTATATACTATGTAAGAGAGACAACAATATGAATGCTAAGCTGATTACCACAAGTGGTGTGCTAGATAAGCTCTGCAGAAAAAAGAAAATGTGATAACATAAGACGTTTATATTGGAAACATTTAGATCCCAGGATCTTGGTGCCCCTGGGACCCAAACTTATCTAATAAAAAGTAAGTATTATATTTAGTATATTTGTGTATCCAAGATATATATCACACTAGTGCTGCTCAATATCAACATACCCTCAAGGGAGGTTCCTTAAAGCTGGTGAGGGGCTCTTGATCTAGGGAATTGGATCTGTGCTCTGGTTCCCTGAATTGAGTCTGAATGCCTTTCATCCCCCCATGCGCTGAATAATCCTCTGGGTTTAGGTCTCCCCCATAATAATAATAATAATAATCAATATCAACATACCCAAGATATACCTCACACTAGTGCTGCTCAATATCAACAAAAATAACAAAAAAAGCCACAATACCGTGACTGGAACTATACACAAATAACCCGCACATAGAAGAGAGAAGCTTACGACGACGTTTCGGTCCGACTTGGACCATAATAACACTTAACTGGAGAATAACAGAAGAGGTGCCTAGGTGAAGTCTGGGGGATCAGCGCCACAAAAATTCCCTCTGCCCCCATATAAAAATACTGTAGCAAAAACAATAGCTTAAAAACAGTCTCCTACCCCACCATCCCCTCCCCCCATAAGCCCCCAGAATGGTAAAAAGTCACTGTGACTTATATGAGTTTACTTAATATAAAATTTTCGTGATACAAGGAATTTTAGAAGCCATATACGTATATGACAGATCTTCTCATGGGAGGGAGGTGCCTCCAAGCCAGGGAGAGGCTCTTGATCCATACAACTAGGGAGGTGCCTCCAAGCCGGGGAGAGGCTCTTGATCCATACAACTAGGGGTTTCATTATAATACAAAAAACTGGAGTTACCTTTCCTTAGACTGAACATAAATGCCTAAGTTATTTTGTGACACCTATGGGTTTAGTGCTTCCCCTAAAATAATAAATAGTAATAAATTATTTATTATTTTAATAGTCACAAAGAATTAATTAATTTGAGGGGGTATTATTATTATTTATTACATCGAGTGTCCATTAAGAGCATCAAGTTATCAACAGTAAGTTATAAGACTAAAGGTTGCTATGACGACGAACCCCCTCAAGGAAGGTTCCTTGATGTTGGTGAGGGGCTCTTGATTTAGGGAATTGGATCTGTGCTCCAGTTCCCCGAATTAAGCCTGAATGCCTCCCACATCCCCCCCCCAGGCGCTGTATAATCCTCCGGGTTTAGCGCTTCCCCCTTGATTATAATAATAATAATAATATGACGACGAACTCCCAAGTGACGTCACTCAACAGCTCGCACTTCATTGGTAGAAACTATTTATTTACATCCAGCAGAATAACCAATCACGGGAAGTGTAAAATACGACAGCAGCGTGAATGACTGAAGGACCTGAAAGACGATTACTAATTGGTAGTTTGGAAGGTAAACAAACAGTGGAAACGATGAATGGAGCAATATGCGAGGGCAAGACTGTCATAACTTCTTACATAGCTGCTTCTTAATGTATTATCTATCATAATTAATTAAGAGTATATATATATATTATATATATATATATATATATATATATATATATATATATATATAATATATATATATACATATATATATATATAATATATATATATATTATATATATATATATATATATATATATATATATATATATTATATATATATATATATTTATATATATATATCATACTTGCCAAACTAGAAGATTTAATAAAGTTGATGAGCCATGTGGGTTTACCACTGTTTTATTGCCAAAAATACTATAATATTCCTTTATTATATACATAAAACAGATGTATTTTAACTGATATGAATTTAAATAGATCGCCAATGGATGAAAGATGAATAAAATATACTTGAATACATAAATAAAATCTTTTACTTATTTTACTGGTATTTTTAATGTGAAAAATGCGCAGTGAAGGAGCGCAAGAACAGCAAGACATGAGGGAGGGTTACTGTGCTGGCCAACTGCTGTGACGTCATCACTGGGCGGAGCTTTGAAACAAGCAGTTAGGTAGCTACAAGGCCCCGCCCACCAACCATGTCACTCAAAATCTCGCATATCATTGGCAGAAACTCTCTCAGGCCCCACCCACTAGTGACGTAGCTCCAGAACTCGCATATCATTGGTAGAAACTCTCTCAGGCCCCGCCCACTAGTGAAGCCACTGAGTCACAACAACACAGCTTCTTATGAGTTGCTGTTGTTCTCTCCAGTCATAAATTCTCTCAATAGATGGCGTCTTGCAAAATATACACAAATTAACTCCTATTTATTTTATTTACACTCATCATAGACATTTATAGACATATATGGACCACCATAGACATATATGGACCATCATAGACATATATGGACCATCATAGACATGTATAGATCAACATAATGGACCATTATAGACATATGTGGACCATCATAGACATTTATAGACCATTATAGACATATATGGACCATCATAGACATATGGACCATCATAGACATGTATAGATCAACATAATGGACCATTATAGACATATGTGGACCATTATAGACATATATGGACCATCATAGACATTTATAGACCATTATAGACATATATAGACCATTATAGACATATATGGACCATCATAGACATATATGGACCATCATAGACATATATGGACCACCATAGCATCATTATAAGGACCATCATAGACATACTATGGACATCATAGACATATATGGACCATCATAGACATATATGGACCATCATAGACATATATGGACCATCATAGACATATATGGACCATCATAGACATATATGGACCATCATAGACATATATGGACCTTCATAGACATATATGGACCATCATAGACATATATGAACCATCATAGACATATATGGACCATCATAGACATATATGGACCATCATAGACATATATGGACCATCATAGACATATATGGACCACGATAGACGTATATGAACCACGATAGACTTATATGGACCATGATAGACAAATATGGACCATGATAGACATATATGGACCATCATAGACATATGTGGACCGTCATAGACATATATGGATCATCATAGACATATATGAACCATGATAGACGTATATGGACCGTCATAGACATATATGGACCATAATAGACATATATGAACCATGATAGACGTATATTTACCGTCATAGACATATATGGACCATCATAGACATATATGGATCCTGATACATATATGGACCATCACAGACATATATGGACCTTGATAGACATATATGGACCATCATAGACATATATGGACCATCATAGACATATATGGACCATCACAGACATATAAGGATCATCATAGACATATATGGACCACCATATATATATTTGGACCACCATAGACATATATGAACCCTTATAGACGTATATGGACCGTCATAGACATATATGGACCATC